CCTGCTCCTCCTGGGCGCCATCACCCTCCACCTCGCCCCCTGCTGCCCCCTGCTGCGACCCCTGCAGCTGCCCGGGGACCCTCCCGCAGCGCCCCGCGGGCTCCTCGCTGCCCTCGGCCTGGGTCTCTTCGCGCGCCCAGCCTTCTTGGTTTTTGCTCTGGGCACGGCCCTGGTGGGGGGCGGGTACTTCGTCCCCTACGTGCATCTGGCCCCTCACGCTTTAGACCGGGGCCTGGCGGGGTACAGGGCCGCGCTGGTGGTGGCCGTGGCCGCGGTGGGGGATGCGGGCGCCCGGCTGGTCTGCGGGTGGGTGGCGGACCAGGGCTGGGTGCCCCTCCCGCGGCTGCTGGCGGTGTTCGGGGCTCTGACGGGGCTGGGGCTGCTGGCCGTGGGGCTGGTTCCCGTGGTCGGGGGTGAGGAGGCCTGGGGGGGCTCCCTGCTGGCCGCGGCCGGGGCCTACGGGCTGAGCGCAGGCAGCTACGCCCCGCTGGTGTTCGGAGTGCTCCCGGGGCTGGTGGGCATCGGAGGTGTGGTACAGGCCACCGGGCTGGTGATGCTGCTGATGAGCCTCGGGGGGCTTCTGGGCCCCCCGCTGTCAGGTAAGGGCCTGACTGAGCCAGCAGATCCCCACCCCGACCCCCATCCTGGGGTCCGAGGCTTCTAAATTCCTTCCCCCTTCCTCTCAGGCTTCCTCAGGGATGAGACGGGGGACTTCACGGCCTCCTTCCTCGTGTGTGGCTCCTTCGTCCTCTCAGGCAGCTCCATCTACCTGGGGCTGCCTGGGGCGCTGCCCTCCTGCAGTCCGGCCTCACCTCCAGCCACCCCTCCCCCTGAGAGGGGGGAGCTGCTCCCCGCTCCTCCGGGGGCCCTGCTGTCCCCAGGAGGCCCGCATGCCACCGCCGACACCTCCTGTTGACCATTTTCTTTTGGTTTGAGCCTCTCAATAAAAAATTTCCAATGTGTCTGCAAGCTCCAATGGTTAGCCCATCTAGGACGCTGAAAACTTTCTACTTAAGACATTCAAAAGGCCCCTCGGAAGGAACAGGATCCCATTAAGCCGGGGAGAGAGGCGGGTATCTGTCTGTCTAGTCAGTCCATTTCTCTTTGCCCACGTTGTTGCCATTATAACGGGGCGCCTTTGAGAAGTTGTCTGCCTGCCAGCTTCAATTTGTTTAAGGGAGAGGGAGCCTCATGGGTGCCATCTGCCCCATCCTCATTTCCTTGACTCAAAACTCTTCCCGTATCTCAACCGCATTCTATTGGCCTGCGGTGAATACAAGAATCCTCGACCCAGGCTAGGCTCTCTGAGCTTCCGCTCTCCCAAACTACCCCTGCCCCCACCACGTCCCCACCATTTCCTTCATTTCTCTTCTCAGTCACAGGGGCTAGTGGGAAAGAGGGAGGTCAGCGGGCAAGTGGGAGGAACTGTGGTCCAGAGAGCAGAGTCCAGGGTTAAAATGCTTGGAGTCCCCAGAGCTCCTGGACACTTCCCCTCTATCCCTCAGCCATGACCCGACTCAACCAACCCCAGCATTTGGCCTCCAGTTCTTTCTGAGTTTCTGATTATTATCCAGTTTTCTTATCCAGTTTTATCTCAAAGCGGCATCCCTCATCCCCAAACATCTGTCTTCAGAGAAGAAGCGTAGGAGGCAACACTAGAGATCGATCACTTGTAAAACATAATAAGTCTCTTGGCCTTTGATTTTCACAGTTGATTCACGGCTCACTGGAGCAGGCTGAACTCTTGGATCCTGCAGAAATGGTTGTGGAAGCCAAGAAGAGATAGGAGTTGGCACACACATCGCAGGAGCCCTGGGCAAGCTGTGGTGGAAGACAGATCAAGATGCTGAAGGCACTGTGGTTCCCTGGGCATCAATATGGGGCAGAAGACCCGGAGCTGCCCATCTCTGGCTTTCCGGGTCTTTTTGGAGTTCAGTCCTCTCCCAGCCCTTCCTTCGCAGGGGGACTCTGGTATCCGGTGCCTCTGTGCCAAGGTCCTGGGGCTTGGAGGTAGGAGCTGAGACGCAGAAGAAGTGGGGCAGCGTGATGAGAATTCCACTCCCTGCAAGAAGGAAGGCCCCGGCCACCACAAAGGAAGCTGTGTAGTTGCCTGTCACATCCCGGAGGTAGCCTACATCCAAGAGAGAAAAAGAACACACATGGGTGATCTGTTTCCTGGGACCGACGGCTCAGAGATATTTTGGGGCGGAAGGAGGAAAATGATCTGTAATCTGCCATCTTGGAAGAGTTAGAACTGCCAAGGTAGGACCAGATGCACTTGACAACTCTGGTGTCCCAGGGGGCTTCAGAGGTCGTGCCCATCACCTCCCTGCCTTCAGAAAGGCCCTCCATATCAGCCAGTGGGGATGTGGGGGTCCAGATTGAGGCAGGCACACCTGTGTCTTTCTTTCCGGCAACTGTGGCCCTGTCATCTAATAGTCGCTAGGGTCTGAAGGTTCTGGTATCTGAAGGCTGGAGAACTTTGACCACATGGCTCAGACATCTGAGCTGGGGCCAAATGGGCCAAGGGTAAGAGCAGGTCCAGACAAGTCTGAAAATCCAAGCGACAGGCATCCTACCGAGGGCTCCGCAGAGCTCATTTGAGTTTTTCCACAGCCCCAATCTCTTTGTCTCATGGGCCCACTTCAGGGCTGCTAATGATTGGTTATTCAGGCCATGTGGTATACCATACCATGTAAAGGGCAATATTTACATCCACTCTAATGTGAATAGTCCCCTCCCTGAATGGTATGACATGGCCATCTGGAAACCCCATCCCCCTTACCTGACAGAGGAGCCCCCAGCAGTCCCCCGATGCTCTCCACCATCTGCACCAGTCCCAGGCCACAGTATATCCTTCCAGTCCCCACCAGTTCAGGCAGCATGGAGAAGGCCAGTGGGGTCAGGGCCCCTGATGTAAAGCCATAGGCCACGGCCAGAGCCACCAGGGCTGTGGGAGCCTGAGCCACGGGGAACAGGGCCAGTGACACCCCGGTCAGGGTAGTCCAGAGCATCAGGAGCCGTGCCACAGGCCCTGGGACTATATCCCCTAGCCACCCAGAAACCACACGCCCCACGAGGTCAGAAATAGCAATCACCGAGAGGAGGAAGGCAGCAGGCAGTGGATCCCAATCCAGGTCCTGGAGATGGGCCACCAGATGCACATAGGGAATGAAGTAGCCGGTGTTGACCAGGGTGAGGGCAACAGTGTAACGGAGGAAGGGGCCATGATGGAGGAGGGAGGCGAGTTGGGCCCCAGGGCCAGCCACAGCAGGGTCCTCAGTCAGGGAGATTGGGCGGAGGAGGGCACCACAGGCCACCAGATGGAGGGAGATGGCAGACACCAACAGTAGGGTGCCCCGCCAGGCATAGTAGCTGAGCAGCCACTGGAAGAGTGGGGCAAAAGCAAAGGAGGAGAGGCCCACGCCAGTCAGTGCCAACCCCATGGCCAGGGATCGCAGGCGAGAGAAGTAACGAGACAGGCAGGCAAGTGTTGGTGTGAAGGTCAAGGCCCACCCAGAACCTGTAAAAGAAAACAAAAAAAACAATAATAATAAAGAGACAGAGAAAAGA